GGTGCAGTGTAGTTATTCTTTACAAAAAAACCTCAGTCCTGACAGTTATTTAAAAAAATTGCTAGAAGGTGTTAAGGGGATTCCATATTACTGCTCAGTACAAAAAATTTTGTGCATCCTGAGCTTTTCAAGTTATTTTTATTCTGGTGTAATGTCCCTTTTTATTTTTACCTGCATGAGGTTCTCCGAAATCTAGGGTATTTTCTCTTCTAACAATTTTTATGATCTCTTGGCATGAAAGACTGGAATGGTCCCTTCTGACCTTAAGAAAGAGTGCATGTTATATATAACCACAGTCTATTGTAAATTTGCTACCTTACTGCTCACACTGGAGCTGAATTCCTTTAGAAGTCATGAACTGGTGGCCTATCTAATATCTAATTTGCATAAACTGTATTTATCACAGCAGGTGCAGAAATACAGCAGATTTCAGCCAAAAATACTTCCTACCAAGTCAACATTTCTCAGCTTGTGAAGTTCTCCTTCCCAAAATTTAAAGACCTTTTAAAGTGTATTTCTGAAGTCTTGGTGCTGATAGACAACATCTCATATTAACAGGACTGAAATTATGATTACATTTCTTAACATCTGACTATAAAAGTTAAAGCCATGGTTTAATCTCTCCTGGTTGTGCAGCAGTTTTAATATAATTTGGGAAATGTACATATCACCTAGGCACTGTAAGACAGGTTCATACGGTTACATATAGTCCCTTCATAATGTGCAGATGACTTTTTTGATGTATCATGAGGTGATCAATAGTTTATGGTTCAGAGACCTTCAGTAGTATGTAGTTCTATTTCATTTATTACACTTATCTCTGTAGCACTCACTAAAGTAGGAAAGTATTTGTAGTTAATTCCTGGAAACTAGAATTCAAGAATTTCATTGGCAAGTGTTGTTTAAAACTTTTGTTAAAATGGGATTAAAAGCCACAAGTATATGCAGTGGGAAGTATGGGAAGAATTTCTTCATGGAGAGGGAATTTTGATACAGTACAATAGATAAAAATAACAAAATGCAAAATATATTTTCAAGAAAAAGCATGTTGCATAAATTGAATTAATTTTTTTTTTAAATTGCTCTCTTTGCCATGCTGCTCTTGGCTGAGTTTTAAATGATAGTAGTATTGAGAAGTTTCAGGTTATCAGGATACAAAGTGGAACTTGAGTTAATATAAACAACTAGGGAATATATTTTATGGTGGACAGAGTCTACCCGTAGAGGACAGGAATATACTGTTCATATCAATGAGTTCTTGAAGGTTTTCCAGTACGCTGCAATTGCTGTAGTTCAGTTTTTTTAAAGCACATCACTGAATACAAATGTTCAGAACACTGAGTCTTTATCAGTTTAGGAAGTTGGTTATCTCGGGGGATTTTTTTTTTTTTACCAAGAGAAGAAGTCAGCATAGCAGATGTGTGGGTTGTACTGCACAGCTAGGTTTAACCAGCAATGTTTGTCTTATATATTGCAGTACTGTGTGCCCAAATATGTATGAGGGAAAATAACAGTCCACAAACTGTCCTGAGGCTCTATCACATCAGCCAAACTAAGTACTCTTTATAAGAACAGAATGTCTCACTCAGATTTTCAGCTCTAATCTCCCTCTACAGACAAACTTCAGCAAGTGAAGTGTAGCTCTCATTCAGTCCAGACTGTTTTTTGAGATGGCTGGGCAGAGGTCTCTCCAGTGAAGGGTTTCAGTTCTGCAAGGAAATAAAGTGAGGCCATCTGAAACTTAACCTGTTTGTCCACAGTCCCTAAAGAACCACACAGGAAAACACAACTTCTCTTTAATGAACATTAAGTCGCTTGCATGCTTATGGAAAGGAGTTTTGCCTCTCCTAGTTACTGTCCTGGTAGTTACTGGGCCCTATTAGCTCTGCTAAACCTGTCAGTGTGTTACTGTCAGCTTTTTGTGTGAGATATGTCCCTGACAAATCTGCCAGCAGACTCTGCCTGATGCTTACTGACTGCCCTACAGACACTCCTTAGGTTTCTTCCTACCCACTTGGACAGCTAACTCAGAGGTTCTTGTGGAAGTTCAGAGCTAAATCTAACCCCATCCAATTGCCAGAAAAATGAATGAATAAAATGAATTTAAAAAAAAATTAAAGAGACTACCTTACTTTGTTAATGCATATTAAACTAAGAAGTGTATATAATCTAGGTAGTTTAGGCAATGTCACTCATGACATACATATGGAGGCATTAAAATGCCTTTGTAAAATGGTAAGAAATGGAAATTACAAGATAGTGACACATGTTTCAAAGAGTACTGAAGCATGCTTAAAAGTCAATGACTTATGACAGCCTCTGGCCCTCATTCTGCATTTACTGGTTAAATTTCCTATTTATTTCCAAGTTACTATTACTATAGAAGAGGTTTTAATCATAAAGTTCACACTGAATCTGGTTAAATAAATAGGATGGTACATTTCACTAATTATTTGGAGAAAGCTGAAGAAAAGATTAAGCAAAAGCAATCAGACTTTTTGAAAAGTCTTGGTATAATCTTCAAAGCACCATTTAACATAAACTGTGTTCCTTTTACAACTTGCTCATTTACTTGTAGCAAATATAATAGTAATGGCTGTCAGTTAAATTTTTTGAACTAATTTGGAATATGGAGTCATCAAGTGAAGTCATGTATGTTCTGCATGACTTGTGGTTGCAGTGAAGAGAATTCTTAAAGCAGAAGAGTAGCTTGACAAAGTGACTGCTTTAAACTCGTCAGTGCTTATTATTGTTGAAAGAGTTTTTCCGAGCCACAAATTATAAAACTATGGAATACATGTTTACATCATTTTATATAAAACACTGTAATTCTAGACACCAAACTACACATCGACCTAAAGCATTAAAGAGGATGTAAAAGATGAGAGCTGAATGACAACAAATTTATATGCTGCTTTATTCCTGAAGACCACTCTTGTCCTCTTGTCACACATCATGTATTTTATGCTGAATTTAGAGGCACAGTTGTGTCCATTGTGTTACAATAGTCTAACAAAACAAAATAATTGATCCAGATATCAGGCCTATATAGTTTGGGAGAAACAAAATAGAACGGAAATAAGAGGCAAACAAAGCTTTATTGCTTGCAAACAAAACATCCAGTAGTGTATAGGTATTCTGAATGATAGAATTACTGATATGGTTCTTTAGAAGTGCATTAAATAAATGCTACAGATACAATAGCTGTATTCTTCAGTGGAAGATGTGCACCTGAAAAAATAGTGGGGAGGAACAATGGGATTCTGTATGTCTGAAACAGAAGATATTCTTGTGTTATTATGAGATTTCATGTTGAAGCAGGAACCAGTTACTTTTGTGTATTTAGAAAACCTGCACCCCATAAAAGTCTTTAAGAATGGGAACACATTGAGGCAGAGCTCCACTGAGGCTCAAAAACCTGCTTGAAGTGAGGCCCCTAGTACCACACCTGTAATATCTCACAGGTCTGATTTCAGAGATGCTGGCTAAAACAAGAGTAGAGCTAGAGTGAAGAGACACCTTGCTATGTCTTTTTCTCAAAAGTTCCTATGCTATATTCAGCCATGGAAGGCTTGAATAAAAAAGTTGGCAATTGACTAGTGTAAAACTGTGAGCTACAAATTAAGAATCCAAATAAATTAATAAATAGAATTAATTTTCAAAGAAAAAAAAAACCTGAAAAACCCCCAAAAAGAGCAGGAAAAAAAAGTCAACACTGCGCCCCCTCCAATCCAGTGGTGTGTTGTCACTATGAGACCAGCAGCTAAAATTTAATCTTTCCAGACAGTCTGTTACAGAACTTGGCTGTTAGCATAGCATATTTCAGTCTGACTATTAAGAAATAAGTGTTCCTACCAGTAGGCTTTAAATTCACTTCTTTGTACACAGTTCAACCTCTTCCTCTCTGGAATCCTATTATGCTTTTCCAATAAGGTGTTAAGACAACAACTCCGGCTTACTATTTATGGAGCCAGTGACTTAAAATGTACTGTGAAGTAAGTGGCTATTCCTTTAATCTGTGACCTTAAAATTCAACAGAGTTGATGTTTTGTTATTCTTATGTACTGAGCTGCCCATCAGTCACTGATCCAGTCTGGTTGGTGCTGTATCCTGTGCTCCTGTTGCTGCTGAATATTGTGGCAACACAGCTCAGTGAATTCACCTGTATTAAATTTTCTGTCACCCGGTGTCTTCCCCCATCAACTTCCACAGTGTGGGGTTATGAAGACTATTTCTTGTTAAAAGCAATATAGATTAAGCTGAGAATGATTAGCAGGAATGGTGGGGACAGGGAAAGAGAGCAGAAGACTAATGACGACAGACAGAATGGAACTCTTGCAGGCAGAGAGGACTTAACGGTGGCCAAAAATAAAAAAAACTCAAATTCCTGTGCAAACTTGCCTCACATCAGACATCACAGAGTAGCCTGAGACAAGGCTCAATATTGCCACCTTGTACCCCATTAAAAATGGAAAAAGGGAAAGCACCAAAGTGATAATCAGTAGAAAACATCAGGAAGCAGACCTGTTCCATTCAGGATGGAGTCATGACCTCTGTAAATGCAAAGCTATCAAACAGAACTTTAGATTACTTAGAAACACATCATTAGTCCTTGTTGCACTGGGACTTAGGTTATTGTGGAAAAGTCATTAGTTTCTTTTCAGATTCTCTGGAGAGTTTCCAAAACCTAGCCCTTGCATTTCCTCAGGTTGTTCATATGTACTTTCATATTTCAGCCCTTGTTAGCTGGCACAGTATGTGCTGTTCTAGGCTTAAATTTGTAATTACAGTAGCCTACTAAGGCAAAGCAGTCAGGTACTCAGCTGTCATAGCTTCTACTTCTAAGTGGAGTTAGAAAATACTAAAATCCACACCAGCCCTTCACTGAGGGTATAAAGTCTTTGGAAGACATTGTAATTCAGGGAGCCTGTGTACACAGCCTGCTCATACTGCAACATTCTAATAGCTCTACTGTGTGTGAAACCATTACAATTTCACTTCAAACATTGCATTAAAAATACCCTGACCTTTAAAGGGTGTTCAGTGGTGGTATTTAGTAGTCTTTCGATAAAGCCTAAAGTTAGTTCTTTACATCCCAGCAGCTTGCTGGCTAACTCTTGAAATGACCTTCAGAGGTATCCATTGTGTATTTTCTTTCCTGAGTATGGAGACAGGAACCACAGGTCTTTCAGTGTTTTGTTGATTCAGTCATGCTACGGTCTGTGGTTTCATTATCTTACCTCTTTGCAGGGCCAGTGTGAAAGCCACCTGTTTTATCCTTAGAAACAGTAAGCGCACAGAAAGCAAAAGTTAACTTCACTTAAAAATGACACAAAATTCAACTTTTCTTTGGTGTGCTATTTACCTCGAGCTCTTCCTAATTCCTTCCTAGGAGAATGTTGCCTTCTCATGTTGGACAGCTCTATCTATATTGCATGAGCCTTTTTCCCAAGAAGCTTGACTTCTAAGGTTGCTGTTACATGGTTCTTTGGGAGACTGTAATTTCCAGGCATCCTACAAGACCCTCAGCTTTTAGGCGTGCTATTTTGGTCCCCTCCAGATCTTTTCCTTTTTATGTTTTGTTTCTAAGACAAATCTATTCTAGTAGACCAGAAAAACAATTCTCTTGTGATTGTGGTTCAACTCCAAGGAAATCAGATTTTTAAAAATAATAACTAATAATACTCTGCGTGCAAATGAAAGATTCATAATATTAATGTCTCCTTATCCCTGGAAATAATTTTCTTATGGCATTGTTGCATATGCCTGTCTTTTAAAACATTTAATTACACTAAATTATCTATGAGGCTGGAGTTGGGAAAGCTAAAGTTTGTTCAGTTTTGAAAAGAGAAAGGTATTTGCAGTGTGGCCGAATATAACGTGCTTTTTCTTTTCCCTCTTTCAGTGAAGTTTTTGCTTGAGAAATACACATTGGCTCAGCAAAACAAAAACCACTTTTAAGGGTTCTTGGTGGAAATCGCTCTATGCCCTATTACCTGCTTGAGTGAAACCAGACTAAAGAACTTCTGTCATGGCAGCTTTTCTGCTGGGAGCTGTGTTGCTTATTGTTCAACCTCAGATAGTGCCTTCCAGACCAGCTATAAATTCAAATGCTGAGACTTCTTCTCAGTCTGTTCAGAGAGAGCTTTTAAAGAAAACATCTCAGAAAAATGACTTCAAGGAAAACATTCATTCTAATGGATCATGTCAGCAGCTGCCACAGACTATTATTATTGGAGTGAGAAAAGGTGGAACAAGAGCTTTGTTAGAGATGTTGAGTCTCCATCCAGATATTGCAGCAGCAGAAAGTGAAGTTCACTTCTTTGACTGGGAAGATCATTACAGGAATGGATTGCAGTGGTATATTAATCAAATGCCATTCTCATATCCCCATCAGATCACCGTGGAAAAAACTCCAGCGTATTTCACATCACCTAAAGTGCCTGAAAGAGTTTATAACATGAACCAATCAATGAGACTACTCCTTATTTTAAGAGACCCAAGCGAGAGAGTACTATCAGATTACACCCAAGTGTTCTACAACCACATGCAGAAGCACAAGCCGTACCCATCCATTGAACAATTCCTGATAAAAAATGGTGAACTCAATGTGGACTACAAGGCAATAAACAGAAGCTTATACTACATTCACATGCAGAACTGGCTGAAGTATTTTCCTCTTGATCATATCCACATTGTAGATGGGGATAAATTAATCAGAGATCCCTTTCCAGAAATAGAAAAGGTAGAGAGATTTCTGAAGTTATCACCACAGATAAATGCTTCAAACTTTTATTTCAATAAAACTAAGGGATTCTACTGCCTGAGGGACGGTGGTAGAGAGCGCTGTTTACATGAGTCCAAAGGACGAGCGCACCCACACGTAGATTCCCGGTTACTCGAGAAACTGCAGGAATATTTCCATGAACCCAACAAGAAGTTTTTTGAGCTTGTGGGCAGAACATTTGACTGGCACACATTTGTGGCAAGTTAGTGGTAAGCTTCAGAACCTATGTTCCAGTGTACAGTTAGAAGATTTAAAAAGGGCATTTAAGCTATTATTTATTTGTAAAATCCATAAATACTTCTGTACAGTATTAGATTCACAATTGCCATATATACTAGTTATATTTTTCTACTTGTTAAATTTGAAAGCATTTTGTATTGTTTTTCATGGTTGTTAACATTGTGTATGATGTGTCTATATGAAGAAACTAAATTATTTCATTGCAGAAGGTGCTCTCTTGAGAATGTGTTGTCTTTTTAATAAATAAGAAATTCATTTCAACAGAACATTTCTGAATTATTTGAATAGTTTGGCCTTCCTGGACTATTTTCACTAATTGCTAATGAATATGCTAAACTTTACCGTTCCATTTTTCTTAAAGTGTGGATTAATAATTTATTTTCCATTTGAAAATATTATTGTACTTAATAAATTGTTCAATCCTGCTTTATGAAATTATTTCCTGTCAAAGTGGTGGTACTTACACATGTTGGGAAATACACACCCAAAGGACAATGGCAGTCTCTATGTAATTTGATATATTAACTAATTTGACATATTAACTTCTATACTTAACCTTCATATTCACTGTTATAACAAGTGCTCCTCAATTCTTTGGCAGCACAGTGCAGGTTTCATGGCAGATTTTTAAGGATTCTGTGGGGACCAGCTCATAAAATACAGTTAGCTGGAGAAATATGGTCAACCTGAAAACTTCTTACAGTCTCTGAATGTATGCACACTTCATAAAGAGGTATAGTTGAGAGAATTTAAGCAATATAGAGACTTTTTCAAGGCTGCTTTTGACTGTTCCTAGATTTCATAGTACATTTATGCTTTACAGTCACTGAAAATAAACACACCAGAAAAATTATTTGGTCTACATTCATGAACTTCATTCATACAAATATTACCACATTTGTACCCTACTTAAGGCTGTTTTCTATGAGTTTTCAGTTGCTTCATGCAACTGAAAATTGCCTATGGACTTCTCTTTGTTTAATCTCCTTCCAAGAACCATGATGCCAGGTCTTGATTAGATGTGTGTTGTGGGATTAACCCACATTCCAGGAACTTTCCTTGTTTTCCATCTGCTAAAAATGGAAGTGAGAGGTTAGTCCATTGGTAAAAGCTGCAGTTGTCCTGATCTACAGTGGTTATGGTGTCTTGTTAACCATCAGTTTCTGGAGTTAGAGTTAATCCAGTTTCCACACAAGGCTTCTTACAGTACTTTCAATCCAAGCTACTGATTTTTATTTCATGATCTTGAGTTTAGTTATTGAATGTGCAATGGCAACACCCAGTAAATTTGAACTTGTAGCTGGTTGTTACAATCCTTTATAAAATTTAAATGTAGATTCATTCATTTTTTTTTCTGGTGAGTTAGTGCAAACTTGGGCACTATGACAAGGTATCGTCTGGATGCAAGTATCCCATATTATGCCTCTTGCATGAAAATTTGCAGATGCTGTCCCTCTCTCTCCCACTCCTTGTGCACCTGCCCAAGCTGTATTCAACCTCAGAGAGGTTGGTGGTGTTTTATAAAGCCTACAATGAAATGGTATTGTACTCAATAAAATATTTTCTGAATTGCATTTTTCCTTTCTGTTTTTTTTTCTTCAGTTTCTAGTTTGGAAGACCAACATTTAGGATCTAACTCCAGTTTAGATTTCAGCAAAATTTTACCTAAGAACTTAGCTGCAGCATGTTGCTATTGATACGAAAGCAGTTGTTTGCTGCTGGATTATGCCTGAATGGTCCACTGCTGACCCAGAATATACAGTAAGGAGGGAAAGTTTCTGGTGGCAATAATGTCAATAATGTCAAATCTTACATGAGGCAGATGTTGAAAATAACAGAATTGTAGTACCATCATGTTTCTATTAGAGTTTCAGAAAAGACAAATTCAGGGGATTTTGTGTAAGGTGGGGCAGTATTTTTTCCTACACTTACCCCATTTCCTTGGTAATGTTATCTCTGCAGGAGCCAGCTGGACCAAAGTGATTTTGGCCCAGACAGAAGGCTTCCATTAATTAGTGCCTTCCTGCAGTCTCAGATTAAGCTCACCAAATTCACCAAGGTTTTGCTGAGAAAGGAAGAATACTAGCAAGCATGTGACCAGGAACTGGAGGAGTCCATGAAGGCAGGGTTGCAATGAGTCCACCTCCAGCAGGTTGAACAGGGCAGCGTAGGGCATCAGTGTTGAATTGGAAATGCCTGTGCAATACTGACAGCTGATGTTGGTACTGAGGATGCTTTTAGTGTCTAGTGCTACTTGATACCAGTATTTTGCCTGTCTCTAAGGAGGACCACGTACGCATTCCCCCACACACAACGTGGCTTGTCTCTATAGAAAGAGAAGTGCATGAACCATGAGGTCATTCCTGCTGTTACAGTGCTAGGACCTCACAGAGTGCTGTCTGCAGGGTCCAGAGGTGAAGTGACCACTTCAGGGGACATTCTGAAGCAGAATATCACATGACTTGGGTGCTAGACAGCAAGTTCAGAGGGTCCCACAGAAAGTATGTCATACAATATGCATGTGTGTGTTAATGGCATGATTGTGCAATACCTTACCCTGAAGATTGCATGGCTTGCTCTCTGTTAGCTGTGATGGTGGTGAACAATAAATCACACCCACAGTAATAATAATGTAAATGTAATGTTTACCTGCCATAGGTTCAAGAGTTCAAGAGTCACAATTCTCAAAACTATTCCGAGTGTGAATGTTCTGTTCAACCAGAGCAACATTCGTTTTCCACACTGTACTTAAATATATTTCCTAGGCTGTTTCTAAAGAATAATAACAAAAGCCATCAGAAAGTGAAGAGAGAATGAAAGAAGAAGGCTGAAGCATATTCCATTTGGGACTCTAGAAAAATTAATAATGACCTTTGAAGGCATGTCATATCTGTTCATAAAAGAAAAAAATCCCTGAAATACCTTTCCAGTGTTATGCAACACAGGTATTTATCTCTGTAAAGCTCTACTATCTCAGGTTTAAAGTACAACCACCTGGGTGTTGCTTGAGACCTGTTTTCTCAGGGCACCTAGTCAAGCCTGTGATCACTCTTGCAAACATAAAATAAACACAAATCTTTATGAGAACTCAAAGCCTGGCACTCCCCTTGAGTACAAAAAGAAATGCCAACCAAATAATTATTCAGGGTGGCACTGCAGGACTAAGACTTTCCCTTTGCGTCACAACATAGATCAGTGCGAGACTTTGAAAGCCAGATATTGTACCTGCAGAGGACAAAGATTAAACTATAATAATTATCCCAGGAACACTGCTGGAAGATTATGGAAGGGGAAAGAACACCAAAGCTATTATTTCATCAAGAGTATTGCTACATGTACTACTGGTGCTGCATGATCTTGTTACATGTGCTTTGCTCTTCCTTGTATATTTTTCCTGCTGTTACAGGTGAAAAAACATCTACTGTGCTTGAGTAAATTAACATTTCTTTGGAACACGTCAGAAAAAAAATATATTTTTAAATCTGCTACATTCATTGATGAGTGTGTGAAACTTAACACTATGGAATGTTTTAGATTAAAACTTTTTTAGTTTGGTTCTCAAAGCTGATAATTTTATGTTTCCTTGTCTACTGCCATTTTCAGAGTCAGCTTCTGAAGAAAGCCAGGATTTCATTCCCTGTTGTCATTTAAACAGATTTCAAATGCCAAAGAGAAATATGGGTTATGGAATACGGCATATGGCATATTTCCATGTATCTTTCTTCTGCTTTATCTAGCATGGCTGATCATATGTTTAAAAAATATCACACATGTACTCTATAAGTAAGAGACTGTACATCCAAACTACTTTTCATAGGAATATTCATTCTCCTTTTTTCTGAAGTCTGTGACTTGAAAGTCCTACTTAAGACCACATTGTGAATGAAATTTTGCAGGAGTACTTTAGTAGATGTTCTCTAATACAGTAACAAAGTAATAAAACTAAAGGCAAAAGCATGAAATTAAACTAAGTCAACAAAATGTGCTGAACTTGATGCTAGGTATATACGTGCTGAAATAGTTGCAAGTATGTGCCTCTACAGCTGTAACAATATTTTCTCATTCTTAACCCAGCAACCTTTATTTTTATGACTCTGTCTAAATGCCCAGTTAGGCTCAAAAGATTGTATGTTCAATGTTAATTTCTTCATTTTTCAATTGATTGGAAAGGCCAGTTATGGGTGGAAGCCATGCAAATATCTTGTGAATGGAAAAAATTTTCATTAATAATTTGCTTGCAAAAAATAAATGAAATTGCATTTCTCTCCTAGAATTTTATCAGAGAAAAGTACTCCTTTCTTGCAACAACCCATCCACAGTAAATTTTCTACTTAAATACCACACAACAGTTAATGCAGTTTTTAAGTTAATAGTGCAATAAACTCAACAGTGATGCTGCAGATTTTAAATGCCGTCTGGGAAATGTAAAATGTGGAAGTCAGAGTGGGGAGCAGCTGGATGCATGGGAACATCTGATCTCATTGGTCTGAGAAAACTTTTTTTTTTTTTTAATGGTAAGGAACATGAAATTTTTGGCTTGGAGATAACTTTGTGTTGTCTATGAAAGAAGTGTCTTCAATTAACTTCCAAGTCAATAATCCTAACATAATTACATCATTTTTGTATTTAATATTGATATTATTCTCTTCCAAAACAGATTTTAAGAGCCAACCCCAGATAGCAGGTGCATCCCTTAGTATAAGAAAAAAAAAAAATTTATACAGCTCTGACACATAGCTTCAATTACAAAGGCACATTGCCTTGCACAAAGGAGTATTTGGATGAAGATTACAGAAACAGGAACATTTATACATTCACCAAAAACATAACAACTTACATGCCCTTCCCTCCTTAGTTTACATTCAATCAGTATTTCATCAATAAAGATCAGGCCATGTTCCAGGATCCAACACAGTTCAGTCCAGGTAACACTCAAAATGAGGAGTTCTTTCAGTAATTCTTAACCAAACAGACTTTTCAGGATGTCTCCTATTACTGAAGTTGCTGTAACTCTTCTTTCCTCCCCTGTATGCTACAGTCCTGTCACATCTGTGCTATTAACTGTTGTGCTATCACCCCATAAGAAATAGATGCATTATCTGATGGTGTTTTTATAGAATACTATTCAAATGAATAGGAAGTCACAGCATTATGGAGCTCAAAAATTACTTTATATGTGTTTGCTCTGATATATTTTAAACTTTAATTGAATAAAATTCAGTTTATTTTGTCTGTGTCATTGCAATACAGGAGGAGTTATTGTCACACCATTATGCCATCTATGTAGTTATTTAATAGTAAATGATATTTTATAAATAGAAATATATAATCAAAGTAACAAAACTTTCTTATTGCTACAGTAGCAGCTATGTTACTAGGCATATTGTGAGACTTTTACCCATAAAGCAAATGGTAGCACTGTTTCTTTGGAAGTGACAGAAGCATTTTGAGAACCATTCTCCTAGTACGTGTAGGAATAGGGTCTTTGTTCCCTCTGTGACCTCACTTAAAATAGAACGTGCAGGCATTTGAATTATTATTTATAGTCAATTAACAGTTGGTGAAGTTTTGCTAAACCAAAGGTATCAAAAGTGTGCATGTTCTGAAAGAAAAGGAACTGGAGCCATAGGAGATGTTATTTGGGTTTGTTTTTTTTTAATGTCTTTTAATTTTCTTGCCAAAATATATGTGTTCCTGTGCAAAGGGAATAATAGAGGGGAAAAAGGACACATGCTGCAAAATCAGAGCACCTACTCTATTTTACTGTGACACTGGCTGGACCTCAGCTAGGCAGCTGCATGAATAAAGGACATAAAGTGGATAGAAAGGGAACACTGGATACAGGTGAACATCTTGTCATAACCTCATTACTTCTGTTCATACCCTTACAAATGATGAACAAGCACTCTCAACTCTCAATTCTCAAAACAACTTCTTTTCTAGCTCTTGTCTGTGCCAGAGAAAAGGCATCCAAATCCATCTGGGTGTCCGTTGCTTCCCATGCCTTGAGGCCTTTTTTACATGTTAGTGCACTATAATGCAATTAGAGTTACTCACCTCAGTTTCTAATCTTCCCCTTTTTTGTTTTTAAATTTGTACTGAGTCTTCCATCTGCTACAAATGAAAAGGTTTGATGAATAAATTATTTACAGCCTGCAGGAGGAGAAGAGTTCATACGAAACATTTTGCAGACACGAGACTTGCAAAAGAGGATATTTTCATCTAGAAAAAAAAGCATCTGTGGACCAGTTGGTTTCTTGCTGACTAAGCCAACTGGGTATGATACAATTTTGGCAGCTTCCTTATTCTTGTGTGGGCTCCAGTTATATGAATTCCATAAGATATTTATTATTGAATGTAACTATATATTGAATATCAGGCATATGATGGTCTGTGATGTTGACAGTAGTTTTCTAAGTTAATTATTTAACAGCAAATGATATTAAAATCCTAATGCCATTTTTATATAACAAACTTGAGTCATTTTATTCTCAGAAAAATTCAGGAAAAAAAAAGTAAAAGTTCAACTGGCTCTAATGCTCCTTTTTGTGACTCACAGAAAAACTTTTTTTCT